GCAAAAATACCTCTAGAGAGTCTCCATCACATTCCCCTTCCTCTGTGGTCTTCCCTATTTCCTCCGTGATACTGTTCACCATGTCAAAAAACCTGTTAAAAGGGGGGAAAAATAAAGCAAAGCAAACACACACTTGAGACGGTACAAGGACAAAGAGAAAGGTTCTCTCTAAAGTAAGGAATGAACCAAAAGAGGATTGAAGTATAGATAAACTCAGCATAAATGTTTGTGAGCATAAAGGAAAAAAATATATTTTTGTTTACATGGAGAATTAACAGTCAAAATCAGCAGTTTTCCTCCTGTTTTTTACGTACTCCATCATGGCTGAAATTACTAATGGCATTCACATTTCAAAGTCTATGTTTCAAGTGAAAGTCTCATCCTGTACCATTTCTTTACATCCAATGAAAGCACTGAAGCACAATGAGAAGCGCCTCAAAATCTTGCCTACACCTGGAGGAGATTTTGTGGGGCAGCTTCAAGTTTCTACTTGAATGAAAAGGGGATCTATTTTACAATTTTCCATTTAAAGAAATACATTTATTACGTATGACTTCTACCCATTTGAAAGAATGCAAGTACAAATAGCATGTCGTGCTAAGGTATTGCTTACTCCTCTTCTAAGAAGTACCCAGATATGAAGGGGAATGAACATGGCTAAAGAACCTGTACAAATTAAAATGGATTAAGCCAGGGGCTGGGCTGGGAGGCGGCCACAGCCATTAATATGGAGAACTGCAGTGATTTTTCATAAAGTTGCAGCCTTTTTTAGCACAAAATGACATGAAATTTCCTCTGGGAATGCCTTGTGGATCCATTCAAGACCACAACCCTCAAGCCTACGAAGCAGAAACACAGCTTAGAGAAACCCTAATTTTGTGCAACAACCCCCCGCCAAGTTTCCTGTAGGGAAACTGGTACAATCTTGCTCAGGTAAATATGATGCTAATGTAAAGGAAATCAAGTGTGCTTCTTTAATAATAATTTAATAATAATTTTAGTTACAGTAAAAGGAAATCTTGACCAGACCTTGTTGTTACTCCAAATGTTCCCACTTCAGAAAGTCCATTTTAAGTTTAAGGTGCTTTGTCGGATTGAGAGCAACAAACACTTGTAGTAAGCCTTAATATGAAAAATATTAGGAAAATAATCCCACAAGTGTGTAAAAAAATCATTAAATTTGTAATCCAATGTTTTCAACGTTTGTCTGAGGTTGTGCTTTGATCCTTCAAAGCTTGTATATGTCCAGGGAGTTGTAGTACTAAGCTTTTCTGTGAAAAAATGGTGATCACTGAGGATGCTCAGACCAACTTTCACCACAGTTCTGAGACAATCGGTCCCTGTTGTGCAGGCAAGACACCATCCACCCCACCACAGGCCAGGTTTGTTCCGAGATAACACCAGTGACACACACCTTCGGCAATGAAGTTCCGTGCAGAAGTAGATTTGGAAGTCATCTGAGTTGTGCAGCACGTAGAGGAAACAGCATCGTTCTTCAAACTTGGAGATGCTGGAAGAACAGCCAAGCAGAACGCGTCACTGGAAAAATGGATTTTGACTTCCACCGGCCATAGCAAACCCCACAGATCAACCCATTTCACATGGCAAAGGACCAGATTAAACCTAAGACACCATATTTTTTCTTTATTGTACAAATACAAATGTTTGTACAAATACAAATGTTTTATCCTCCAAAGTTCACGCTGTGCTGTTTGCTGTCGTTCAGCTTGTCCCCCTCGTCCACACATCGCCCAAGAAATTTTTTCTATTGACCAGAGTCATCTTTGTCTTCATTGCATTTAGGTAAAGCCCCTAATTTCCCACTCCTGAAGCCAGGATCCCATTAGAAAGCCAGACTTTGAACTCAAGCAGGAGTTCTTCCCACTTTAGAAATCGGCCACAGCTCAATCCTGAACACAAATATTCCTGATTGGTTTCCTGTGAGTGGGTACATGGATAGGATGTTGGAAAAATATTGTAAAATTAAGTCAGCATCAAAAAAACGAGGCGAATGATTTCACCACCCTTGCCCACCCCCCCTTTTCTTCAGTTTTGGTTTTATCTGCTGTAACAGGAGAACAAAGACACTGAAGAAGGACGTATGCCACTTTCTTATGGATGCATAGATGTCTCCACAGAAGAGCAGAAGAGGTGATAGAATATGATTCTATGATGTTGGAAAAATATTGTAAAATTAAGTCAGCATCAAAAAAACGAGGCGAATGATTTCACCACCCTTGCCCACCCCCCCTTTTCTTCAGTTTTGGTTTTATCTGCTGTAACAGGAGAACAAAGACACTGAAGAAGGACGTATGCCACTTTCTTATGGATGCATAGATGTCTCCACAGAAGAGCAGAAGAGGTGCAAACTCTGGTAGAGTTGTCAGTTTTCTGCCCCAAGGAGGCTGCAGCTCTTCCAAAGACAATCATTCACCAGAACTGTTTTATGTGCGTGTCATTACTGTGCTCCTTACAGAAAATATAAAACATTAATTGAAAAAGCTCTTTCTGAAACTTTGTCATGTGTTGAGTGCCAGATGTCAAGCTGATGCAGGGGAATTGAATTGATTGTCAATATATTAGAAAATTGGGGAAAAAAAGATGGCTAGAGGTGTTACAAGGGAATATAATGCAGTATTTGAGCAACCAAGACAAATTAGTCTCTTTATTAATGTTCTTAAGATACTGGACAAAAACCACAGTCCTAGTGAAATCAATCTATTTTAGCTGGATCAAGAGAGGAGCCATCATGTTTTAAATTAATTTATAGCACAATAAAGTAGAATGGTATCCTATGTTGTGCCAAAGGATTGATGATTTGATTAACGTAACAGTTTTTCTTTAAATGTCAGGAAATAGGTGTCATTTTCAACCTTCAATGGATACCTAATGTTGTCTGATCCTTGCTGCTTTTTATGAGCTCTCTAACTTTTGATAAACAAAGGGCTTTTTAGATGAGCTGGGGGGGGGCTGCCTTTCATAAAGCTACTTAGGAGAAGAGCGAGCTTCATCGTAAGAATATTTGTCTTTGGCTGCGGTGACTCATTTATTTTTACATTAGGAAAAATTCATAAGTGCTAAGTAATCTGGGAGGACAGTCGCTGTCCCCAATTTATAAACTGCCTTTTAATTCAAGTTTCTCAAGCCTATAGGTCAGCTCTCCACAGACGGAGTAGCCGATGTCAACAGAATTACTCATTCTTTTCAGGTTTGATGTGAGTTTAAACATTTCAGTGAATAAACCGTCAGTCGAAACCTGACGTGTACAGAAGCCACTGAGTAACCCAGCGGTGAATAAAAGGGTAAGAATGTGGAGTGTACACAGAGGGCAGGCAAATTCATAAATATTTAAGGCCTTTAAGTGAGCATTTACATTGCTTATATGTTGCTTTCCTCCCTAAATTAAAAAAAAAAAAAAAAAGTTGCTCAAGGGAGAAAAAGAAGAATGAAAAAAACTGAGCTATAAAAAAAAAGGGGATAATTTGCTCAGGGTGCTGAGCAAATTCAGAATTGGGGCTGAATTTGCAAAACTCCCCAGAAAAACGGGGAAGCATGATGTAGTATGGCCCTGTGCCCAGCTTGGGTGCATCCAGAAATGCCCTTAGTCCACGAGAAATAAATACTGCAAATGCCATCACTTCTGTTCATAAATTCTTCCAGGTGAAGCTGCTTATATGTTGCTTTCCTCCCTAAATAAAAAAAAAAAAAAGTTGCTCAAGTGAAAAAAAGAAGAGTGAAAAATATTGAGTTATAAAAAAAGAGGGGATAATTTGCTCAGGAAATGCCTCATTCTGACTGTTCCTGAGCACAGGTAGCACCCGCTGGCTTCTATGATGGCAGAATTGGGGCTGAATTTGCAAAACTCCACAGAAAAACAAGGAAGCATGATGTATGGCCCTGTGCCCAGCTCGGGTGCATCCAGAAATGCCCTTAGTCCATGAGAAATAAATACTGCAACACTTCTGTTCATAAATTCTTCCAGGTGAAGCAGCAGATAAAACAGTGGAGCACTGGCAGCAACCACAGAAAAGCACCTCCATGGAACTTGTGTCTGTTTTCTAGAAGTGCAGCAATAAAACACATCCCATGGTCATAATCAAAGAGTCTGATGAGATCCCAAGCTCCGAGAACCTGGGATGGAAGATGAGCATCCTTGTCAGTTCTCCAGCTATGAAGAATATCAGATGCAGATCTCAATCCAACTTCTTCACTGTTTCTAATACTACATCCCTCAGCACGACCTCTGAGGTACTCTCCCGTGGAAACAACACAGGCAGCAAGTATCTCACAATCCAGGGGTTGTCCCAAACACAGAAGAAGCCAACTTGTAGTCACAGAATCATAGAATTGCAGAGGTTGGAAGGAACCTTTCAGATCGAGTCCAACCGTCAACCCAACGCTGACAAAAACCTTCACTAAACCATATCTCCAAGCACCACGTCTTTCACTAAACCATATATCCAAGCACCACGTCTGCCCGTCTTCTAATTACCTCCAGGGCTGGTGCCTCAACCCCTTCCCAGGGCAGCCCATTCCAAAGCTTAATAACCCTTTCAATGTAAAAATTTTTCCTAATGTCCATCTGAACCTCCCCTGGTGCAGCTTGAGTCCATTTCTTCTTGTCCTATCGCCCATGACTTGGGAGAAGAGACCGACCCCCACCTCGCTACAACCTGCTGCTTCCTTTTTAATTTTTAAATTGGAATAATAAAGATGGTACCTTCTTGCTCATAGGATGCCAGCTCTGCAGAACACTAGGGACTTTTCTGGAAAACCTAAGATGCAGAACACCTTGGAGCAGCTGCCGCATTCCGAAAGCTCTGATGAAACCTTTAAGATTAACACCCCTTTTTGGGCCCAATTCAATAATAAACATTTGTGTTTAAGAGGTCACAGAGACATATGACAAAAGCAAGGTTATTTACATCAGCACACAACCTGCTAATGAGTTTATTAAGCTAAACACAATTAGTACGGCTGCCTGCATGCAGGGTGTGATTTAGCACTGAACTGCTCAGAGAGCTCTATGTACTTTTTGAACTCCCCAGTTCAAGAAGGACAGGGAACTGCTGGAGAGGGTACAGCAGAGGGCTACAAAGATGATGAGGGGCCTGGAGCACCTCTCAGATGAGTAGAGGCTGAGGGACTTGGGTCTTTTTAGTCTGGAGAAGAAAAGACTGAGGGGGGATCTGATCAATGCCTATAAATACTTAAAGGGTGGGTGTCAGGAAGATGGGGCCAGTCTTTTTTCAGTGGTGCCCAGGGACAGGACAAGAGGGAATGGGCACAAACTTGAACATAAGAGGTTCCACCTCAACATGAGGAGAAACGTCTTTCCTGTGAGGGTGGCAGAGCCCTGGAAGAGGCTGCCCAGAGAGGTGGTGGAGTCTCCATCTCTGGAGACATTCAAACCCACCTGGACACGTTCCTGTGCAACCTGCTCTGGGTGACCCTGCTCTAGCAGGGGGGTAGGACCAAATGATCTCCAGAGGTCCCTTCCAACCCCATATCATTCTGTGATTCTGTGATTCTTGAGACCCGAACTATTATTCACAAAATGAGATGCTGACTGCACCATCTGATCCATCCACTGAAGTGACCCCTCAGTCACATCCTGGAGGTATTTACCAAAACCACCAGCCATTTCAATGCTAGATGTCTCTTCAGACCTGCTGTCTCCTTGTGTAATGCAGTAAATATTTATGGAGGCCTTTATACATGATCTTGGAGGCTTTCTCAACAAAGACCTGCCTTGTGCATTGAGGCTGCATTTCTAAAGCTGGCTCTTACTAGTGTAGAAAGGCTGAGAATCCTCATAAAGCTGGGAACTCCTCCTTCCCAGACCGCTTTAAGTCTAGGAGCTTCAAAGGAGACAAAAATAGCCTTAATATAAAAATAGATTAGGAGCAGGCCTGGCTCTGAAGGCTCTCCCAGTCCAAAGAATATCTGTCTTCATAAAACTAGAAAAAAAAAAAAGCCCTGAAAAACCCTGAAAAATTAAGTGATCAGAAACTTGTATATATTAGGAAGAAGAAGAAAAAAGAGGCTTATTCAGTTTTAGACTTGCATAAGATAAAGATTTCCCCCTGCAGCTCCTCATGGAGGCAGCCAGGGAGTTTTCTAAGAATTCACAGTGACTCTTGGCTCACTGTAAAATCTTCCAAGTGGCTTTGGACATCTGTCCAGATTGGAAATTTAATTGCCAAATTAAATGACAATTGGCAGTTTAAATAAGAAACGCAGGAGAAAGAGTTCTGACCACAGCACGATTTAATAAGAGAGAGGGGAAGAAATAAAAATGACAATAAATAAAGACTTTTTTTCCTCTTTTTTTAGAAGCATACAAAAACATACCGTAACCAAAACCCAAACCAGACTAAACTAAGCGTATCATTGCAATTTTTGCCTAAAATAAGCTGAATCCCACAGGACTGAGTTCTTGTGCCTACTGATAGTTTGGTTTTTTAAGTCACTTTTTGGAAGGAGAAAGAATCATCCATCTGTGCAAAACGTCCTGCAGACATAGCAACAGCTTTGTGTGGATGGAACAGTTATTATTAGAACAGAGCAATGAGTATTTTTAAAAACTCTAAGATTTTGGGACTGGTTTTTTTTTTTTTTTTTTATAATTACACTAAAAGCAAACACCAAAGTCAAAAGTTGCAGGATGCTGAAATATAGATAAATCCTAGGGGAAAAGAAAAGAAAAAGAGACTAAGATCACGAATTTAGCTGAAGAGGTCACAGCACTGGTAGAGCATGACTTTTTTAATATCAGAAGATACAAATTGCAAGGCTGGAACCTGCTGAAGAGGATGTACATCACACATTATGTTGAGCCTGGGGTGGCAGAGCGGACCCGCTGGCTCAGATTTGGCTGTTCTCTACTGGCACTAAGAGACAATCCAGTAAAGAAGTCTCCCTAGAGAAGTCTCCCCAGCAGACAGACAACATCTTGCTGAAATTAAGCAAACAGATGGCAAAGTTCCCTCCTTTGCCATTATCTCATGAGCCCTGTCCTGCAGAGGGAGGTGTGCTGAAGAGAAGAGAGGTGGCCCTGAGCGTGTAACATGGTTCTCTTCTAATCCAGTCAAGCCAGTCCTGAACGTGTCATTCCTGTTCCTATGATTTATTAATCTACCTTAACCTACTTCACATGAATCTTTGGGAGGTTAGGGGTTGTTTTTTTCCTTGTTTTGATTCCCCTTTTCTGTTCTCTTAAACAACCTTCAAGTTTCTACCTTGTGGTGTATCTACCACTCTCCTTACTGGCCCTCTCTGAAACAGTTTTGCTGTCATTTACCATAAACAGACACAGAAAAAAAAAAAACCACCAAACGTACCCACTCACACCAAAACCCCAAAACAGGTAAGCAATCAGGACATTGCAAGACACCCTGATCCTGTCAGTTCTTCATATCCTCCCATTCTGCATCCACGTGTTATTTCCTGGCTTACACATTCTGTGCACCAGGCAGCTCCTGGCTGTGAAAGAACTGGGCAAAATGACATTGGCAGATATTTTAATTCCATCTTAATTAGGATAATGTGAGTGGTTACCAACTTTTAAAAAATATTAGCTCTTTAATTCAATGGGCTAAGTTGGCTAATTTTTATATAATGAACTCTGCAAATAGTCATTTCTGAATCCAGATTAAGACTCTTGGAGCTTCACTTGTGGAAGTGCCTGCAAATACTCTGCTCCAACTCTGTGTCTGTTACTCCACCAAGGTCCACAAGCAGCAGCTTTAGACAATACCCATTCACTTACTCTCTTTATTTCAAAACATGAAAGGGAAACAACTTACCTTACTCCCCTGATGGAAGCAGCACTGAAGTTCCACTCATGGATACCTTTCTGTGACACATAGAAGAAAACAAATTAGTCATTTTTATGAATGATGTGCCAATAGGCTTAACTTCTAGATTGACACTCAAGAGATGGAAAGAAAAACACCTGAACTACAATAATCTTTTAACAGTTATTTTTCAGGGTATATTTTTTTTTCCACCCAAAACCAGACAACAGAAGTTTTGGGTTGGTTTGTTTCTTCGCTGTTTATTCTGTAAACACAATATACTATTGTAGAAAACATGCAAAACAGGATAGCCTGGGGTGGGTACTGAACTTGGGGTCTCACACGACCCTCTGGAAAGTGTGTGTGTGGAAATCCCACCTCTGAGGACCAGCAGAGCCTGCTCTGATGTGTGTGTGGGGAGACCAGATGGAGAGAGCTCCAAGCAGGAAGTCGGATGCTGGAAAGAAAAGTGGGAAATTCTTGAAGAGTAGGAGTAATTGCTCAGGGAAGGAGCAAATCTGAAGACCAAACGTCCAAAGAAACAGAAAGGAGACTATTTCCCTCAGAAACCAGAATGCACCCAAAGCCTTAAGAGGAGTAATAAACAAGGGTGGAAGAAAGAAGCCACCCTGCGAGAGCACAAAGGGCCAGGCAACACTTATTTTCAAGTCTTAAATTTACATCTGACACATTCAGCAGAACTGAGTTCTCTCTGTAGACAGTCATATTGCCTGATGTTTACATTCTAATAAAGCTTTACTGTAGGAAACAGAAGCCTTTTGTATCTTCTAATGAAAACATTCTCCTTTCAGGAAAAGGTGGAACTACACCACCTCGAAGCTCTGGCAACCTTGGGATCCCACCACAATGGGGGGAGGAAGAACCTCTGCTTTCTAAAGCTGAATTTCTTTTGGCATTTTAGTGACCCAAGCGATTAAAAGGCACAGAGACATTTCTTGCTGAGAGGTAATTTAAGCATAATTTATAGCACACATTAAGCGTGTAACATAAGCAACAAACACAAATATAATCAAATATATTCCAAAAAGAAGACAGGAAAACGTGTAGCTTATAAAACATCTCATGATGAGTGAAATATAGAGAAGTCAGAAGAGATAAGCTTGCCAAAGTAGTTGCACAATGTGCAGGAAATGATAGAGGAAGTTATTCTCCCAGCTACAACAGCTTTCTAGAAGGCTTCCTGCAGCAATTTTCTCCTCCTCTGTAATTCTCTCCTTCCTGCTCAAATCGTGTTCGAGGTTGTGACGCTAATACAAAGTGCCTAACACAACCCACCAAAAATACAAACAAACGTCTTTCTTGAAGCACAAGCTCCACATTATTATAATCATAAAGTACAAAAGGGTAGCTTCAATGTGAAATGGGGGGAAAGTGGGGAACAGGGACAGGAGAACAGCCTGATATTAAGAAAAGGCGGGATCACATCTCCAGGTGGAGGTACTGACTGATGCTGGTGTGAAGTGCTCGTGAAAATACTATTCTGAGTTCCCTGGTTCTCTTGCAGAAAGACAGATCACCACCTCAACCCCTCTGCTAATGGAGAGGATGTATCTGCACCGTATTTTACTCCTCCCTCCATATACAAAACTCTGTTACTTTCCAATTTTCCATGCTTGGAAACTCTCTTCAGAACTTAGCTATTGGTACTTGTCCAATTCCCACTTTGGGGAATCATCTAAAATCTAATAAAGTTAAAACGTACATCCTGACGGGCAGAAATGCTGAAGCAGCGTAACAAGAAGCTTAAGTATTGTGGGTTTTACCCGTCATCAACGTGCAACTAATTTCTCACAGATTCATACATCTTTTATACATCACACAAAGTTCTCGGGCAATGCAATACTATAAAAGTTATGTCCCTTGTGATCATGCCAAGTTTTGAATATGTTGGAGTAAATATTTGAGGCACGCTATCCAAACTCAGCATCTGTTCTTTGGTTCAGCAAAAAAACCACCAACAACAAACCCCACCAACCACCCAAAACAAAACGGCAAAAAAAACCAAAAAACAAACCCCACCAACCACCCAAAACAAAACTCCAAATGGATTTGGAAGCCAATGTGGAACAGAGACAGGCTGTTCTGTCTCAAACTTGCAACAACCAGCGCTGCTGTGTTCCTCTAACCCCGGGCGGGAAGGGCTGCTAAAATTGGGGAACTGCAAGGCAAAAGTAATGTGCATTCTGCAAAATATAATGCTGTCTGAATTTTATGGGCATTTATTTATCTTAAGCTCTATTAAAGGCATAAATGTTAAGATAGGCTGCTAAAAAAGCCACAGAACACGAAGAGGACACATTATTTATCCTGGTATTGACTGTCATTTGCCTTATTTATTACAAAATTGCCGTCTGCGGGCTCCGCTCAGTTCCAGTTTGGATTTGAAAAGGAAATTCAGTGTCTTTGTGCCTGAGAGGAAGTTCACACGCTTTACAACTCACAGTTCTTTTTCTTAAAGCACTGATTGAGTTGTGGAAAATAAGCAGAGTTATTAATCTGTGAGCCAAAATGAACTGAAGCCTGAAGCGTGAGCTCTGACAGACCTACGGTAGGTAGATTGAGATTGGATAGCTGGAAGAGTTTCCAAACCCAGCTGTCTAACCTGCCCCTGCAGTAGGGATAGGTGGGCTTTGCTTGTTAATCAGCCCCTAAAACTGAATTTCACTGAATTTTTAGAGTTGGAAGGGACCATAGAGATCATCTAGTCCAACTCCCCTGCTGAAGCAGGATTGCCTAGAGCTTGTCCGAGCATGTAACTCAGGACTGCATCCAGGCGGGTCTTGAAAATCTCCAAAGAAGGGGACTCCACAACCTCCCTGGGCAGCCTGTTCCAGGGCTCTGTCACCCTCACTGTGAAGAAGTTTTTTTCTCATATTTGAGTGGAACCTCTTATGTTCCAACTTGTGCCCGTTGCCCCTCATCCTCTCACTAGGAACCGCTGAAAAGAGTCTGGCTCCCTCCTCCTTCAAACCACCCTTGAGATACTTGTAAGCATTGATAAGGTCTCCCCTCAGCCTTCTCTTCTCCAGACTAAAGAGTCCCAGCTCTCTCAGTCTCTCCTCATAAGGGAGATGCTCCAGTCCTTGAATCATCTTTGTTGCCCTACGCTGGACTCTTTCCAGTAGTTCCCTGTCCCTCTTGAACTGGAGAGCCCAGAACTGGATGCAGTACTCTAGTTGTGGCCTTACCAGTGCAGAGTAGAGGGGGAGAATGACTTCCCTTGACCTGCTGGCCACACTCTTCCCTATACAGCCCAGGATTCCATTGGCCCTCCTGGCCACAAGAGCACACTGTTTGCTCATTGTCATTTTGCTGTCCACCAGGACCCCTAGATCTTTCTCTTCTGGCGGGGTGGACTCCAGCAGGTCCACCCCTAACCTGTATTGGTGCCTGACATTCTTCTTCCCCAGGTGCAGGACCCTACACTTTTCCCCGTTGAACCTCATGAGGTTCTTCCTTGCCCAGTTCTCCAGCCTGTCCAGATCTCGTTGGATGGCAGCACAGCCCTCCGGGGTGTCAGCCACTCCTCCCAGTTTGGCATCATCAGCGAACTTGCTGAGGATACACTCTGTCCCCTCATCCAGGTCACTGATGAATATGTTGAACAGCACTGGACCAAGTATTGACCCCTGAGGGACACAACTGGTTACAGGCTTCCAACTTGAACCTGCTCCATTCATCATTACCCTTTGAGTCCTGTCACACAGCCAGTTCTCAATCCACCTCACTGCTGAAAACGCCTGCTTTCAGCTTTGGAGAGGATCAAAGTAAGAGTATTCCCCTTTGCAGTGGGCTGACAGATAATAACACCTCTATTTCCTTCACAAAACCTCTTATCAAAGACAAGTATTACACTCGTTATATTCATCTGAAAAGTCGGCTGGCCAAATTTTTCTACTCCCTTTTCTCCCTGTGAGGTTTCTGATGGATTTGAAGGACTTTGACAGACTTGCAAGGACAGACTGTAATTGTAGAGCTGAAGGGGTAACTACCAAATTGCCCATCGCACTTTTTTCATGGACATTACGGGTGGCAGGGCAAGGATGCCTGCACTGAGTATCAATTAGATCCCGGGCTAATCAATAAGCTCGCCACAGTGAGGATTCTGGCCAGAGCAAAAAAGTACTAAGGAGTCCATTTAAAACTGACCTTTGTCTAATGCTATTGATTACCACTAGGGCAGCAAAGATCGGAAAATAGTATCTGCAGAAAATACAGAGACACACTCCCCAAATCAGGAAAGGGGTGGGAGGGGAAGAAAAAGAGGTATAACACACCTCTTTCATTCCATTTTTAAAGTTTTTTTGTTATAACTATTACAATAAAGGAAAACACTACAAAGAAGAGGTTACAAACTCTGTAAAGCCAAACGATCTCTCTACTGACCACCAAACAGGTTACAGACTAATGCATCCAAACCCTTCTCCCAGTCACAGGGCGACTGGGCAGCCAAGTGCCACAGCTATGAAGAAGGCCATTGCTGAAAGCACCAAGCAAAATATCCCAGTAGCCAAAAGGTAAATGAATACGTCATGAAATACCATTTTTGGAATAGAAGTGCAGATGCTTAAGCAGGGTTAACTCAAACTGGAACATAAGAAGTCGTGGCAATGAGATGCCTCATGTGGCCAGTACAACAAGCCTACTTGGTGTTGCCTAAAAAAACCCTAAGAGATATTAGGGTTCTCCTTAAAAATAGGTAAACATCAGCGAGAGAAAGGAACCACTTAACATGAACGCTGCGTTAGCAAAAGAACAAATGAGTATGAAATGGCCACAAGCAAATTCAGTTTGAGAGCCAGAAGATTTTAAAGTAATGATCTGCTACTTCTCCAGCAGGATCCCACCGTAGGCTCTTCTACAGCTGTAGGACTACTCTCAAACCACTTTCCAGCACAAACCATTGACTGTGAGACCTACACTAATATTCAGATGGAGCTTGACCGCTTTGCTAAACATTATATAGTGAGAGTGTCTGCAACAGGGGTGAACAGGACTCAATAGCCTGGAAAATTCTTCTTATACTACAGAAAAGCCACTTAAGAGAATGGAGAGTATTGTTTGGAGGTGACCTACATACACAAAACCTACAAAACCTAAAAAATTATGCATGTACAAGTAGTTTCTAAACAGATTAAATTCTGAATACGGCAATACTTTCAGAACAGCTATACTACAGTAAAGAGCCTACAACACCTAAAAAATTACGCATGTACAAGTAGCTTCTAAACAGATTAAATTCTGAATACAGCAATACTTTCAGAACAGCTATACTACAGTAGCAAGGTTTACCCTGTAGTGCTGACAAATCTTTATTTACTGTGTGGTAAATTTTCGTTTTGTCCAAGAACTGCATAAATTTATTTTTTTTCTCAGAGGCTGAGTCTACTTGGAAAAACATCAGATAGAACTTCTGTTGTGAGTTCATGAGAAAGTAAATGGACAGTGGGTGAAATAGCATATTTAGAGGACAAATGGAAATGTTTGCCTGGACCAATGAATTTCTGTTTATTTGTAGTTTATTCGAAGCATTACGGCCTCACATATTTTGCAGGCAAAAATGTAGCAAGGTTTACCCTGTAGTGCTGACAAATCTTTATTTACTGTGTGGTAAATTTTCGTTTTGTCCAAGAACTGCATAAATTTATTTTTTTTCTCAGAGGCTGAGTCTACTTGGAAAAACATCAGATAGAACTTCTGTTGTGAGTTCATGAGAAAGTAAATGGACAGTGGGTGAAATAGCATATTTAGAGGACAAATGGAAATGTTTGCCTGGACCAATGAATTTCTGTTTATTTGTAGTTTATTCGAAGCATTACGGCCTCACATATTTTGCAGGCAAAAATGTTTCTCCTTTAACAGACTACAAGTACAAAAGTTGAGGGATGCATTACCTGAAAAATTGGTGTTCAATGTCCTATCCTGCAGGCAAACAAAATGCTGCCATGGAAGAACAAACAGCACTTGTTCTTACAAATCCCACCATCTCCAGTGTTGCACCTCCAGCTGAGTCACCATCCCTTCACTCTTCATGTACTACTCCCACCACGTTTCCACGCTCCCATCCTTCTCTAAGGTTCTATGATGTCCTCTCTGTCTTCACCCTTACCAAAATTTTGCTTCCCAAGCACCCCAGAATGCAGTAACATTCTAGGTTTTCCTCTCCCCCTTCCATCTCCAGATTTTCTAAGCTCCTTTCCAAACACGCCTGGCTATCTCACACCTTGGCATTTGGACTTCCCAGCTTTTTCAATTTCTGGACCTTCTGAGCATCTATCTTTCTGCCAAATACTTCTTCAGCTTTTGATTGATTCCACCCCTATTTTAAGACACCAGTCTCTCTTACTTTCACATTAAAGGAGTATTTACCACAACTGACAAGCAATACTGTAAGTACAGGAAGAAGATAGTTCTTTTTGTACGAGTAATTTTATGCTACATTATTTGTATGACGACAGTATATTGTAAATTACTTCTGAAATGTTAAGCAACAAGATTTTGTATACTCTACGCTGGTTTAAAACACCTTGAAAGAAGATGCAACCTATTTTTGAAAAAGATGGAGACAAAAGACCCACTGAACAACAGGACAAACTTAAAGAAAAATTAAGAACACCATATTAAATTTAAAAAAAAATTAAGAAGTAATGCATGGAACATATCTCCACAGTATTTTCCTGAGTTGTTACTCAAACACTTTTCTCCTTTGCAGAATCCATCATTAGATGCAACTGTTTGCATGTTTCATGTCTTATGTACCAGTCACACTTTTAAATTGTGAAAAAAGTTCCTACTCCAGACAATGAGACGTTAATACCTTGTCATCAGGCAGCACGTGCCAGATAGATACAGTCTTCTCCTCGGCTTCACTGTTGATGGAGAGATATGAGGGCTGATAGATTTTTGTTGGTTCTAATATTAAGACCTAGTAGAAAAAGAAAAAAAATATTTAAGAGTTAGTACAAAGTATGCAGAAGTTTAAAAAGTGTTAAAATCTGTTAAAACTATTTCTGTGGCCATACGATAGCAGGAAAAACAGAGGAAGCAGAACAAAAAGTAAAATTTTAGCTATTGGGTAGTTTATTATGGCTGACAGTAATTTAAGATTAAAAAAAAGCGCCAAGTTTAATTCAGTTTTTTTATATGAGGCTCTTATGTGTCAAGCGGTAGCACCTATCATAATTTTCCAAATGATTTCTCTGACAACAATCAGATCTTAAAATCTTTCTGCCACAATTCATTCTCTTGCAATGCCATTCAAGAAGGTGCAGCTCCCATGTGGATGGGATTCATGGTCTACCTTTACCAAGGTACTTCTTTTGGTAGAAACACATTTGGGTAAATCAGAAAAACACATCAACCTCGAGCTAAGACAGAACTGCTTTGGATTCAGACCACTGTGAACTGCAGCCACCAGAAGAAATGATTTTCTCAAAAGCAACAAGCACCACTGCAGGAGGTTGAGAGCTAAAAATTATAGAAAATTTCCTAGAATAAATGAAACAAAAACTAGAATCATTATGTAAAAGAGACAGGATGCAATGCACCAAGATTTAGTACCTAGGCATTTAACTCTGTAAATGATAACCAGTGAGATTTCAAATATGTTGCTTGGCATGTCCAGACGCTTATAATTTCTAAAATCTGGTGTAGACCTTTTCACAAATTGGGGTCTTTAGCCTACAACAAGTTACCCACAGGCTGTGTCATTTCTTCCCCTAAAGGCTGAGAAGAGGATGATGACACTGATGCTACTGGATAAGAGAGTAACTGACAGCTAAGCTAGGACTGATGGACAGTGAAGTCCTTAAGTTAAGCTCTCCTTATTCCCAATAAGGAAATCTGAAAATAACTTCTTTTAGAATAAATCATTTGCAAGAATCTGGGAGAGGGGAAGGAAAAGAAAGTTACTACGTTTCATGTTGTTGTTAAACGCTGTTATTTTCCTTCTGAATAGGCACAAACAGAATTTTTGTATTATGAGAGATCATGTCTGTTTGTCTGCAACACCGGGATAGTTTCCTGTACAACACAATCAAACTATGTGGTCACTGGGTTTTACCCTTTGGCTCATGTCATCACCATGATCCGTTTTGGTTTGTCTCTTAATAGAAATCCAAACCACTTGACTTGGGCAGTTTCATAAGTCAGAGCCTATTTTAAGTATCTAATTGCGCCATTTCATCATCAAAAAAAGAACATGCCCTTGTCTTTTAAAATAAAAACAAAAACAGAGGATTCAAAATATTTTTCGCTTTTCCCTGCAAAACTTCACGCCCGTTCTCCTCGGAGAAGGAGAACCAGACTCTCTAGGGAGGCTCATGTTGCTTCCACTTCACTGCCTCGAGCTGTTGCTGTTCAACACCACCAGAGTCTTCCTTATGGTTTATTATCCCATCTACACCCAGAAGCCAAAAGAACTCCACAAAACAGCAGTGTGCACTTCAGATATCTGGGAGGCAATAGCAACTGCTATTTAAACCAAAAAGCTGGATTGGCTAAGGGTTAGCTAAAAGCAATACCCAGTTTCCCATCCATATATAGTTAATATGTACAGGGAACAAAGATCTTTTTACAGGAGACTTTCAGGACATTGCACAGCACCAGGGGATCTAAAAAAAATTTCAGCAAAGTATTTGTGGAACAAATCAGAGAAGTAGATATACGCTTATAGTGCAATGTTGTTGAAATACATTGTCTAGTAGCTAGAACAAGAGATTTCTGACTGTTTGGGCTGATTTTTAACTTGTAACAGAGCACAGCCTGAATTGCCAGTAGGGTATGTAAAGCTGAGCTAGAAAGAGACTGAAATTAAGTATCTTCTCTTCAAAACATAATACAGTTAATACATTATCACCTGGAATACACTGCAAAGGTTTGCCTTAGAAGTGTACCCACTGGTAGCAAACACTAAATAGCAAAGTTCATAGAATCATAGGATCATTCAGGTCAGAAAAGACCCTTGGGATCATCAAGTTCAACCATCAAGTTTTATCACCTTGAGAGTCACAGAATCATTCAGGTCGGAAAAGACCCTTGGGATCATCAAGTTCAACCATCAAGTTCTATCACCTTGACATTTTTTTCCTCACTACTTTCACCTGGACCGCACCGTGCAATCCCATTGTAGCCATGTGCAATCAATTAAACCCAACCTAATTTGGAGGCTGAACAAATTTCTTCTTCAGCAGTTTATTGTCTGGCAAGACAAGCATTGTTTTGTGTTCATTTCCTTCATGTCACGATTTACTTTCAGGACATTGCACAGCACCAGGGGATCTAAAAAAAATTTCAGCAAAGTATTTGTGGAACAAATCAGAGAAGTAGATATACGCTTATAGTGCAATGTTGTTGAAATACATTGTCTAGTAGCTAGAACAAGAGATTTCTGACTGTTTGGGCTCATTTTTAACTTGTAACAGAGCACAGCCTGAATTGCCAGTAGGGTATGTAAAGCTGAGCTAGAAAGAGACTGAAATTAAGTATCTTCTCTTCAAAACATAATACAGTTAATACATTATCACCTGGAATACACTGCAAAGGTTTGCCTTAGAAGTGTACCCACTGGTAGCAAACACTAAATAGCAAAGTTCATAGAATCATAGGATCATTCAGGTCAGAAAAGACCCTTGGGATCATCAAGTTCAACCATCAAGTTTTATCACCTTGAGATTTTTTTCCTCACTACTTTCACCTGGACCGCACCGTGCAATCCCATTGTAGCCATGTGCAATCAATTAAACCCAACCTAATTTGGAGGCTGAACAAATTTCTTCTTCAGCAGTTTATTGCCTGGCAAGACAAGCAGTGTTTTGTGTTCATTTCCTTCGTGTCATGATTTATTGGGGGGAAAAAAGAAACCAGACAACAAAAAGCACCCCAAAACCAAAACAGCCACTTACTGGAAATCGAACTACAGACACGTCTGTCTTTGTGGCTTCAACAAGGAAGTCCATCCAGAAGTCCACCAGTTCCTGTTTGGCCGTATGTTGTTCCGGAGTCAGCTTCTTAAAATGCTGATATATCAAAATAGTCTCTACAATAGACTTCAGGTACCTGTGATCAGCCAAGCATACACAGATAGTAAATTTAATACAGTTTGTAAATAATAACGCCTCTACCTTTAATCTCAACTGAAGCATTCACCGTTGCAACACCGAGGCAGCCGGTAAGATTTTGGTTCTCTAGGGTTGCTTTTATAATAGCAATTCCTCATTTAGAATTGGCAGTGTAGCTGCTATATTAGTAACCTGAAATATAAATGAGCTCTGGGACACTCCTTCCTGCATATATTCCTGATCCCATACACTGTTTCCTATCCTAAACCACAAAAACTTCACGAAATAGCTAAATCCTCTACCTATGGACCAAGCTGAGCCTGGGCCAAACTTGTTTCAGTGGCGACCAACTTCAAACAAAAACCCAGGTGAAAAGTTCACCAGTTTAACTTTCTACACTGTTCAATCTTCTGTACTGTATCTGCCCCAGAAGTTCTTTAACACAGGTTTCTAAAAACCTTCTAGAACTGATTATCCTATAACTGTATCTACTCCCCTTTGCACCAAGTGGGCTCTGCTGAACAGCAGGCAACAGACTGGGAAGCAATTACTCACAGGAGAAATCCTTCCTGGAGCACAAGTGAGTATTTTCAGAGTTTAATCCACAGCCTGAAACCCCAAAGGGCACTGGTACATGAAATCCTGACAACCAGGCATTCATAAACCCCAGAAAACTCTACGGGGAGACTTCCAGGGAGTGCTACCCAGGCTTCTCAGTTAAACATGCACATCGTAAAAACGGAAAGCCTTCCAGACAAAAACGCTGCAAACAGCATTTACAAAATATTTGGTCAGGAAATCTGAGTTCTTAATTTTGACAGTTTCCTAAGTTATGTTGATACAGAAGTTTAGCATTTCCATATTTTAGCACACATCCATACATTTCCCCCAGATCAGCTTCTGGAGATGCTTTCCAGCTTTTATAAAAAGACAAAAATACACAGGCTGTGACATAGGCACTCTTTCAATTGGCAGAGTGATTAACTTTTTTAATCAGGAAGGAGTCCTGGTTCTCCCCAGCTCACAGGATCCCCGCTCTTGATGAGCAGGCAACTAGTCCTTACTTGCTGCCTATACCCAAAGCAGGATATAGGCGGTGGGAGCCTGCTGTCAGAGCACACATCTCTTTGCATAACAGATGTTGAGTCTACAGGGTTGTCGTTAACCCTAGATTTATAACCTTCCTGCTAATTGGACTGTAATCTGCATTCTTCTCAATCACGATGAGATGGAACTTGCCCCATACAGCTCATTCCTGTTCAGGTTCCTACACCAGCTGGTGTGTGCAATAACCACCAGGGTATTTCAAGGAACGTCCATCCCTCTCTAGCCAAGCTGTCTGCATTCCCAAAAAACTTTCAGGCATTGTGAGTAAACCCACGTGCCACTACAACTTCTCTTCAGCCATGTAAGCACTGAAGTATGGTGCCTACAAAGAACTCTTCCTTTCCCCCTTGCCTTCCAGAAGAGCCTGGAGTCAACAGAGAATCTGCCCTTCTCGGACATGAAATTAAAGACCCACATCATCTATTCCTGAATAAGAGCAAAAAAGGGGAAGGAGAGTCCCTTGTCTGGGTCGAAGCGCAGTGAAACAATACACAGACAGCAAAAGCTCTTAAAAAAGCCCCAAACCAGTCTCCTGTCAGCTAAATCCAATGCTGAATGTGAAAGCTGAAGGAGTCCAACATTTTAACACATAGCAATGTACATGATCTCGTTTATCACCTTACCATGCTGGTGCCTTTAGCTTAAACAGCTTTTCGGAAGCCTGGATCACTCTTATATGGTCATTAGCCAACATACTGGCCCCCAAGAAAGATCCCACTTCCCAATAGCTCTGCAGTTTCTCCAGGCTGCCCTTTTTACCAAGCAGGCTGCTGATCTTTACTCCTGTAGCAAAAAGAATAACAGGTCACAGGAATGTATTAATGCCGTTTTAAAGACAACCATTTCCCTGAGTTGAAATCTATTAATTGCTTAAATTACTGTAGCCTCTCCGTTTCAATAAAGTAAGATAGAAACCATACTTACCAGTTAATGTTATATGCTTTCCAAACACCTTAAATGGTAGCAGGTTGGTTTTTTTTTTTCCCCTCCCCCTTTTCCTAAAGGCTTCTCAATAAAGGAACTTTAAGACATCACTGTCAGGACAAGGCCACAGCCAGATTACCTACGTTCTTGCATGGACCTCATCTGTAAAGGTAAATTGGGGCCTTAGGCTACACAATATAGCTGTAAAAACTTAACAGATGCTGAATGCGGCACCTATTATGTTTTTTTCTGCTTTGTGTTTTTTGATTTACAAGCCCCAAGCCCCAAACTTACCTTTATAGACAAGGTCCCATGCAGAAGGAACAGATGATCCACTGGGCTTCTTCCAGCAGTGATGTTCTTTTAATTGCCGCAAGTCCTACCCCAATGAAAGACATCTATTAATATTCATAAGTCCCTCAGCAGCTGAAGGCTATGGAGAGCCTCAGGTTTTTATTTGGACTTGCTAAGTTTTCTGAGAACTACAAGTTTCCCTGTGGCCTTCAAGATGATTTTTAGCTGGTATTAGCTGCTACATATTTATAGCTAACATGAGATACGCTACACCATCCCTTCCAAATAAATCCATTTGCAGCTTACAAGACAAACTTTTTCAGCCTTGTAGTCTTTTATTCGCTTTTCCTGCACTGCTCCACTACGACAGCTTCCCTCCCACATCACCTTCCACCGTCCTTGATATTAAGGCTGAGCATTCACAAGAAATTTCAATGCAACTGTTGATCTTTATTTTATTTTTTTCCTTTAACCTTCCTCAAGGAGCTGGCAGACTAAACTGCAGGCTGGAAGCAGCAATAAATCTTATCAAAATGCATACCATTACAGTAGCCACATTTCAGCCTGCAAAACTCATCGTGTTTTCTCACATTGTTCACATTTTTACGTTACCAAAATCAGACGATAAATGTTTTTAAACCATGAAGTTGTATCCAAGTGGTCTGTAGCCTATTAGATGTCTGTATTTCATACTTTGTGCTCTCTTGCTAATGTGAAACTCTCATGCTTGAGTAACATTCAGAACAAAATAATACTTAAATCATATAAAATCATATCATCACTTCTTTGCTTCCTGGCAAGGAAGTTTGTTTAGTTATTCCTGAAAAGGAAAAAATGCAATAGGTTTCACAAGATATCTCAGGTCTACCTGAGACACGATGCAATGTACATCAACCCCAGCACCTCCACAATGTACCATGGGGATCATCTATATGTAGATGATCTTCAAGGCTTTAAGCCAGAGTGGTATGTACATTCACATTGCCAGGAGACAGCTTGAGGATGTACTTGTTGATGTAGGACAGGAGAGGGAAATTTAAATGCGTTCAACTTCCATGGGATTCTAGAACCCAAAACCTACACACTATCCACAAAACACAGCAAACAGAGAAAATGAATCTCCAGCAGGACCCTAGAATAACACTGCTCAGTGATATCCTCAAAGGCTGAAGGGCTCTGCTAGAACATCTGAAAACATCTGCACGTGCATGACAGGGACACAGAAGAGCAGAGAGGCACCTACTGACATCCACAGGCTCTGAATGTCACCTCACCACAAGGAACGGGCATCACAGGAAGACAGGAATCTTTTCAGATGGGTATCACCTTTGTTGGGAGGAAGGGGAAAGGGAGCAATGGAGCTGTGTGGAGGGTCAGCACCAAGAACTAGGCGATGGCACTTGCAGTTGCAGTGTTTTGTCTGTCTTTTGTCGTAGCTAGCAGCAGCACTGATCTCTGGTTTGCTGGTTGACATACTCTGCCACGCTTCATTGTGTCTGCAGGAACCCACCCATCCCAACCCTCCAGAGGTGGGAACTGAGCCAGAGCAAGGCACAAACCCAGCCTGTGGTTTGGATGAACTGTACAACTCAGAAGGAAAGGGACTAAGATCAGTGGCGTGGCTGGGAGAAGTGTTTGTTCAGAGGGTAAGACTGATGATACTGTGTCCAGCTCTGGAGTTCTCAGCACAGGAAGGACATGGAGCTGTTGGAACAGGGCCAGAGGAGTCCACAAAGAAAATCAGAGGGCTGGAGCACCTCTCCTGTGAGGGCATGCTGAGAGAGCTGGGGTTGTTCAGCCTGGAGAAGAGAAGGATCCAGGGAGATCTTATAGTCTCTTTCAGTACATAAAGAGGCTACAGGAGAGATGGGGAGGGACTCTTCATCAGGGAGTGGAGCCATAGGACGAGGGGTAACAGTTTTGAACTGAAAGAGGGGAGATTTAGATTAGATATTAGGAAGAGATTCTTTCCTGTGAGTGTGATGAGACACTGGCACAGGCTGCCCAGGGAAGCTGTGGCTGCTCCATCCCTGGAGGGGTTCAAGGCCAGGCTGGATGGGGCTTGGAGCAACCTGGTCTGGTGGGAGGTGTCCCTGCCCAGGGCAGGGGGGTTGGAACTCGATGGTCTTCAAGGTCCTTTCCAATCCAAACCAATCTATGAGTCCCAGCTCATGGAATAAGGGAGAGCTATAGGAAGATGGTGGGAGAAAGGATGGATGTGTAGCAGCAACAATATCTGAGAACATCAAGTTTGGGAACCATTACTGTTGTGTAGCCTGGATGAACGGGAAGTTTTATCCAAGCATTCTGTGAAGTGGATCCTATTACCTTAGAGGCAGCAACATCAGCCTCTCATCAAATTCTTCTGAGAAAGATGAGGTACTCAGTGCTAAAACTCATTCTGGTTTGCTGACCTTCCTTTACAAAGCTCATCCACAAACTTAGTTAACCCCAAAAGGCAAGTTGGAAAAATGCAATTGCAGCATGGAGACATTAGCAATAGCTTCAAAAGACTATAACCCTAATTTATGGAGGTGGGATTTTTTGGTTTTGTTGTGTTTTCCAGTGGGTTTGGTCTTTTCTGGGGGGTGGAAGAATCAAAAACCCCAACTTTCTATGGAAACACACAAAGTGTGTTTCACTCAGTTTGTGGTCTCCTTGTATAATTTCTCTTCTCTAGTTTATTTTTATTTCACCATCTTGAAAAATTTTTTTGTGAGTATAAAGAAACCCAGGCCAGCTCAAGACATTCTCTCCTTCCATGACAAACTTGGCATTCACTGAGGGAGAGAAAAAAAAGCAGCAGCTGAATTCCAGTATATTTTATCAAAAATATTTTGCCTTAAAAATGAGCCAAAATAAAGGAGCCATTAATGCCAGAAAAGCCATTGTTTTTGTAACGCCACGAATATACACACAGCTTGTGAAAAAAATAAGATACAGTAAGTAGATATTACCAGTTAAATATTACTATGAAGGCTTGATAAATAAACAGCTTTCCTTGCTCAAATATTGACAGAACAATTCATATTACTTTGTGCGTCAAAGTTGCAGGACCTGCAGAGATCATTACTGTCCATGCAAAGCACCACAGTTATGTTTCGGTCTCAAAAGTTCTACAATTTTGTACAGTTCAGAAAATAGGAGGAGGATTTTCATTAACGCTTCACATGATCATTTAGTTGTGAACTATTATCTGACAAATAGAGGTAGGAACATTTAGAAGGGAAATTTTGTGATATAATGCAAATCGGTAAAAATTCTCTGGGAGAGAAAAAAAACCTCTTAGTTTTACTGGAGTTATTACATTATTGCCATGTAATCAGATATGCATCTTCTAATTACAGCCTCATGCACCCTCTGAAGGTAGTTAGGGACCATATCTTTCTTTAGTCTTTCCCAACCTATCAATATCATTTCTATATAACCTGGACTGAACTTCAACCAGCTTCCTCCCTCCTCATCTCCCACCAGAAGACAGATTTCTTCTAATTTCTATGTGCAACTGATAGTGCTGTGGGTGGACACCAAACCGAAAGCTGCCACCAGGCAAATCTAACTACTGCTAATGGATGCTCCTGGACATACAGATCTAAAGGAGAGGTGACATCAAAAGAGTGATATACTTGTAAGAGATTCTTGGGACAGGGAAAAAAAATAATAATCAAAATATATTCCCACACCACCTCTCTGGTTTTGTTTATTTTTGTCTAAAACATGAACGTTAGCCCAAGACAAAGGAAATACTAGATTACCCTCAGAATCTAGCACCACCCAGGCCAGCTGATAAACCTCATTGTACAAAGACAAATGTAAGGTGTTGCACCTGGGAAAAGATAGTCCAGGAGTGCAGAATGGGCTGGGATCTACCTGGCTGGGTAGGAGCTCTGTGGAAAGGGACCTCTGTGGTGGACCACAAGCTCAATACAAATGAACAGTGAGCTGCAGTGGCAAAGAAAGCCAACAGGATGCTGCATTGCGTCTACAAGGGCATCACCAGCAGAGATAAAGAAGTCATTATCCCACTCTACTCCGCGCATGTCAGGCCACAGCTGGAATACTGGGTTCAGTTTTGGTCCCCACTATACAGCAAAGACATGGACAGTCTGGAGAGGCTCCAGAGAAGGGCGACCAAGATGACCTAAGAACTGGGAAGTCTGCCATATGAAGGAAAGCTGAGAGAACTGGGTTTGTTCAGCCTTGAGACAAGAAGGCTGAGGGGAGATCTCATCACTGTGTTCCAGTGTTTAAAGGGTGCCTACAAAGAAGATGGAGACTCCCTTTTTACAAGGATCCAATGGAAAAGACAGGGGGTGATGGGTACATGTTACTCCTGGGGATATTCTGATTGGACACAAGGCGAAAATTCTTCACACTGAGAACAACCAGCCATTGGAATAATCTCCCCAGAGAAGTGGTGGATTGCCCAACACTGGACTCTTTCAAGATTGAGCTGGACAGGGTGCTAGGCCATCTTGTCTAGATTGTGCCATTGTCAAGAAAGATTGGACCAGATGGTCCTTGAGGTCCCTACCAACCTGGTGTTCTATGTTTCTATGAAAAATGACAGTTCCTATCAACAAGAAATTAATGACTAGTGACACCCATAGGGTCTATATTATTATACACGTATTTGAAAACATGTTTCAAAACATCTAAGTCAGTCTGAGGCTTTAAGTATTTTGACAATATTTCCCGTAACAAACTGAGAAAGAGAGACACAGTAGATAACAGGAGGGGGTTGCTATATCAAGGGTTTTCAGCAGACACCAAGTAAATGTTTACATAAAATAGAGGCACCCCAACAGCTCCATAAAACCCAAACCACCTTTCACCAAGCAGCTACTGGATATTTCTCCACTAAGTCAATCACCATCCATCGTTGGAACCTTAAGTAACAAGTAACCTTAATTTCTGTAACGTTCTCCATACAAACAATAAGGGAGACAACACTGGACAAACTCACAAGAGGACACCAAACATCTGATCCCTACAAATAACATCCAGATTTCATCAGTACAATTAATTTATCCAAATCTAGTTAGCTGTAGCCTGTGTGCTATTGAGAAGTTTCTTTAAAATGGAAGGATTCAAATTAAACTACACAATGAATATAGCCCATCTTTGCTAAACTTTCAAATTTAAAACTAGGCCAGTTGAGTGCATATTTGCAAATGCTACGTAGAAAGCAAAATACTTATTTTTACCTCCTACGCTGGCACAAAAATTCAAATTTCAGGTTAGAAGACGAAAGTACTCTATCTGGCCCAAAAACGCAAAATCTCACGCACTCACAGAAGGGCAAACACAGTAGTTGGGGCATCTCTACACAGCCTATCACATCCAAATGAACACTTTCATTCACACCAGAGAATTTCAATTTCATTTCCATTATCTATGTGAAAATAACCATCTCATCCTGACCTTCACACCCAAAAAAAAAAACTTATCTAGAAAAACAAACCTAACTTCTAAACTAGAGCAGTGGCTGATTACACACACATTCTGTTGAGTGAAAAATATTGTTTCTTTCTCACTTGACGACCTCCTCAGGAGACAGAAGGATAAAAAAAAGACTTTACAATAAGAATTATATGAATTCGTGGAGAATGCCTGTTGCAAATATATTACTATGAATTACAATATTTGGTGCTTTCTCCCACACCTTCCCTGAAAGTACTAATGACTAATCTTGACTTTTCACTCTTTAAATCCAGCAAAACCACCAAAAAAATCATGATTGAAATGGACACCTTCATTCTGCTCTCCTAAACAATAAATTTTTTACAACAAGGGCAGTGGGACATTGGACCAGGTTACCCAGGGAAGCTGTGAATGCCCTCTTGTTGGAAGCATCGAAGGTCAGGGTGAGCAACCTGATCTAGTGAAAGATGCCCCTGCCCATGGCAAGGGGTTGGACTTGATGGTCTTTAAAAGATCCCTTCCAACCCAAACCACTCTGTGACTCTGTGAATACAGACACAACCAGGAAACCTCAAAGAAAGCATCAGAAGAGAAACGTTCTTCTCTCAGACCATCCCAAGCTCAGGAGAAGTGCATTTTCCCCACTCTTAAGATGGACTTTTTGTCCATATTCCCTACAGTTCTACAGGGGGGTTTATCTGTTTGTTTGTTTGTTTTAAAGAATGCTAGCTGGAACTGGATTTCCCCTTCAGGTGTTCCCGTTTCAGACAAATGATGCCATTGCAGAGATGAGCTGCCAGTTTTCACTATGCTCTGGTAACCAGTTAAGATCTTGAAACTGGAACCAGGCCTTCAATGACATCACTCACCCGCAATCAGGTGGGCTCAGTGGTGGTGGGGGAGACCAACTTAAACATTCACATGCTCATATCACAGCATTTGGACACAACCAACAGATTTTCCCCTGTGACAGTGGGCAGTGTCATACTTTCACTAGGATGCGATTTCACTGTGAATTTGCAAGCTGTAATTACCAACTTTCCGCAGCTCAAAAGAAGTATCAAAGCAATGTCCAGCTGCCAGGAGGAGAACTGCATAATTAATTCCTGATTGTAACGTTGGCTCCGACTCAAACGCCTTCTTGAACCTAGAAAAAAACAAACAGGCAGGTTTACTTTCTAAATAATGCGATCTAACAGGGACATAATTATACTTTTAGGTACTTTAAGTGCTTATCTTCTGTTCACACAGCAAGAATCCATGGAAGCAAAAATATTTCACTGTGTTCCACACACGCTTTGTGGTTATTTTTAGGAATCCGTTATTTATACATCCTCCTCCCATTTCCTTTCCCCTCACACAACAAGCACAGACCCTACTCATCCATCCCAGTAAGGTTATAGTGCCTGACTGGATTTCCACTTTTCTTTGAGGTTACAGAAAAAAAGAACACTATCAGCTTGTAAGAGACCTGTGTCACGGTTATGTTTATTAATAAGCTCATTGATTCACCTTTAAATATATGAATTTTCACTGACTTGAAACCTTAAGATTCTAGTGTGGATCTTCTACAGTGCCATACAAGCATATCGAAATGCATAAGCACAAAAGCAAGCGATACAAGAACATACTTCACATTTAGCTACGATTTCAGCTCCTCCAAATTTTATTCTTCATCTCATTGACGTTATCCTTATGAGTCTGTTCACATGAGAAAGGACTACACCAGATTTTATTCTCCTCAAGAGGAATAGCAGTGTTATCTACCTTGTCTAAATCTTCATAGAATCATAGAATCGTTCAGGTTGGAAGAGACCCTTGGGATCATCGAGTCCAACCATCTACCCTACTCTACAAAGTCCTCCCCTACACCATATCCCTCAGTACCTCATCTAAACGTCCCTTAAACACATCCAGGGATGGTGACTCAGCCACCTCCCTGGGCAGCCTGTTCCAATGCCCGACCACTCTTTCTGTGAAAAATTCCTTCCTAATGTTCAGTCTAAACCTACCCTGTTGGAGCTTGAAGCTGTTCCCTCTTGTTCTGTCATTAATTACCTCTCTACAGTGTCCTTTCAAGTAGTTGTAGAGAGTGATGAGGTCTCCCCTCAGCCTCCTTTTCCTCATACTAAACAGGCCCAGCTCCTTCATCCACTCTTCATATGATTTGTCTTCCAGGCCCTTCACTAGTTTCGTTGCCCTATCTTGTCTTAAAAGAAGTTGAGGGGCTTCACCCAAGCACAGCACGCACTACCCTCATGCTAAGAGATGCCACTTGGGGTGACAACAGTCACCAAAGCAGTGCTTTAAACTTCTTCTACAGAATAAAAACATGTTTGGTTGCATATATACATACGCACAGACACCCCCCCGGCTCCTGTGTAAGGAGGCGGCAAACAAGTCTACCATGGAATAAAAACGTGTTTGGTTGCATATATACATACACACAGACACCCCCCCTGTTGTGTAAGGAGGCGGCAAACAAGTCTACCATACGTGAGTTAAGGAGCACAAGCGATTCAGTCAACACCACTCCACTGCAGCAAAAGCAAAGGAGTTTAAAATTGCTTTCAAAAGGGTGGGGAAAAAAACAGACAAACAAATTAGATGGATTAGATGGAAAAAAATTAAGCGGTTCATGAGATTAATAGATCAGGAAGGGAAGAAAAAGAATCTGTGCAAAACCAGATTTGGCTTCCAGACCACAGTTCGACACGTAAGAAAGCTAAAGCATTTTGATCCTAACAGGGCAAAAGTATGGCTAATATTTTTAATATTTTTTTTTTACGTTGTTCTTCCTGCTCTAATGATTTGCATCCTTTAACATAAGCTCTGCTTTCCAAAATTGCAAGACAGGCAATCAATCTGCTTCAATCTGCTACATATATACCACATATATACATACTACATTTATATTCTTTCTATATTCCAGTTACCCACCTCCAAAGAACTTAATCATTAGACAAGAGCCTAGACCTCTAAAAAAACCATGATGAGCAGAGCAGACTCAATCAATTCTTTTCTTTCATCATCCACCTTTCCCCTTGTTCTGCGAGTTACAACAAAATAAGGAGGAAAGTAGATACAAAACATTTTCGCTCACTTAAAAAAAAAACCAAACAAAACAACAACAACAACAATCCACAACAAAAACCAAACCCCCTAAAAACCTGCCGGCCAAACAGGACAACGCTTTCATTGATTCTAAGCATATAGAACTATAAGAAACCACTTTGCTGGCATAATCTATTTGGAGACATAACAATATTGGGAACTGAACTCCCTTTTTGGACCCAGAGACCTTTCATGCTGGAACACTCATGCAGTATCAGGAAAAAGAAGAGAGGAAAGATTGACAGAAGAACAAACCTTGAAAATAAGTATTTTTATCAAATACAAGGGACTATAATTTCATTTTTTTGTTTTGCCCCCAAATACCACATTTCTGGCACGACTATCAAAATTTCTCCAGTTCTCGGATAGATATAAAACTTTTTAAAGATTTTTAAAGATAAAATAAACATCTCTCATGCTTATCAACAGTTGGGCACAGTTGTGCTGCAAACGCTGTTAATCACACAGCAAAGGACGTGGAGAAGAGCTTCATTTTGCAAAATAGTTACTACTTGCAGAAGCACTGCTGAAAAAGCCCAAAAAACCCTCCTTTCTTAAATATGTTACTGTAGAGGTGCCACCAGCGTTGCTGATGCAGTTTGGGCCATTGGAGCTGGTTGGAACTGGTTGTGTCTGACATAGGGAAGGTCCTTGTCTCTTGTCAGAGGCCACCCCTGCTGCCAGGACCTTCCCATCTACTCCCAGAAGACCAGAAGGGACATCACAGGAATTTTTGTTTCTGGGTTCCGCCTCTTCTTTCCAAATTGCTTCCACATGTCCCTTCCCCATAGTGGAAAATAATTTTTCTGGCCATCTCTACATGCTTCTCCCACCAAGAAATACTAGTGTCTTGGACCTCTGTAGTCCTATTTACCTCTCCTAAATGGTTATAACCAAAAGTGTCATTTTGTATTCGGTGAGATCCTGTGCTGACATTCTTAAACTTGCCTTAAATCCACATAGCCTGGACAGCGAAAATTTACAGACAAAAAATAAAAATTAAAAGAAACCAAACAAACCAACCTCCTCTCATAATTAATTTTTATCAGATTAAAACATTTGTGGTTGTCCAAACAACTCACATCTGTTGACTGCACTGATTTAAATTCAACTGGTGCAATTACCATACGTATCATGCCCCAAATATCACTGGAGGAACCACTGTTGTATCGTAAAAAGGGGGTAAGGTTTAAAAATCTGCCTCTAACGTAGAGGTTGGCCTCGCTGATGCAATTATAAATGCCATCAAGAAGCTGAAAGCTGAGATTTGGGAAAATGTTGCAGTGCAGACACTGGATTAGGGAGGTAGCAGTGAAAAGATTTGCATAAAGACTTGATAGCTTCATTAAGTCTGATTTACACTGTCAGTATGCAACAAGACAGTGACAGTTAATAATTAATCTTTCATCTCTTCTCTCATATTTATATGAAAGATGTCATTTATTCTGCTTTTTAATTGTCAGAAAAGAACACTGCCTGCCTCTTTTTTTTTTTTTAATAGACTAAGTACCTTGACATCACCAGTTGTTGCAAAACCAATGCTTTGATTCTGCTGCCAAATTCTCATTATCTAACGCAATTCCCTACAATTCCCCTACATCCTCATTTCTCCAAGACTAAGATAATAACCTTTATTTCAACATAAAGCAATGCTATCATGGAGACGCTGTTCCTGCACACCCCTTGGCCTGTTGTGGCCCTGCTGTGGTACTAGAGTGGGTCTGCTCCTTCCTAAGGGCCTTCCACCGAGTTATGAGTCAACCCTTCAGCCACGTCCAGCCTCCTGTATGACTAACTCTGGAATCCAAATCTACATCCACCATAAAGTCCAAACCAAAAGCAACTGGGCCATTCAGGACAGATTCCAGCTTGACCCAACCAAGATCACCTTGTTCCATGGCAGCATGGAGTGGTGTGTATTGAGTCTCGCTTGCCAGAGACTTCAGGGATTTAGGGGATGGTTGGTCACCATCCCACCCTGCTGCAGGAGCTGCCAGCCTGCCGTCCTTTCCCAAACTGGGATCAATGAATCATAGAATGGTTTGGGTTGGAAGGGACCTTAAAGATCATCCAGTCCCAACCCCCTGCCCTGGGCAGGGACACCTCCCACCAGACCAGGTTGCTCCAAGCCCCATCCAGCCTGGCCTTGAACCCCTCCAGGGATGGGGCAGCCACAGCTTCTCTGGGCAACCTCTTCCAGTGTCTCACCACCCTCACAATAAAGAATTTCTTCCAAAATAAAAGCAATGAAGGGGATTTCTTCCTAAATCATGGATGCCTTACTGCAAGCATTTCCCCTCTTCAAATACATGAATACCATGATTGCTAAGATGCATCTATTAAAACCGTGTTAAAACATCTACATGAAATATCCTAGAAGTAATTACCACTACTATACATATTCCTACTTCAATTATGTTTGAAAATCTCAAAGTTTATCTGTTCATAAGGCACTATGAATGAGGAAAAAGATGTAAAATAGCACAAGTCATTTCTACTTATTCTGCTTCACCTGTGATAATGCCTAGTATTTGTATAAAGGACTACTGTTTTCTTTTTATATTAGTTCATGACGTTAGCAAAATACATTTTTTTTAAAAAACAGAATATTGAAAGATTGTTACAGGATTTGCCTCAGAGGAAATAAAATTTGTCTGTAATTCGAAATCATGAAGGGGGGGGATGACGATGACAATATGCTGCATTCCTGTTATTTAAAAAATCCAGTAAGCATTGCAAAACCGTAAAGCATGGCCACCAAATATAAACTCTACTTGTATTCTGAGGCCATACATGGTAAACAACTGTATCTTATCTTTTACCAAAGACAGTTCTAATCTGAAGTTTACTGAAAACAAGCGATAAATGATGAAGGGAGAAGAAAGCTTTCCATTCTAAGCATTCATTTCAGCAGGCAGCTGATGAGGCACAAGACCAGAACTGGGATCTGATGAGCAGGACACACAAACACAGATTGTCTGTTTCCTCATCTGAATTATGATGGAGAAAAGCAGCTCATCCTGACCAAAGTCT